GCCATAGTGAATGTCCCGCTTCGTCCAAATGCGTAGTCAACTGGGGAAGATCTCATTGTGAGTGTGATCAAGGTCACATCGGACCACTTTGTGTACCTGTATGTTCCGAAGATCCGTGCGATAACGGAGGTATCTGCTTAGAAGACAAAAGAGACCCCAAAGGCTATAGATGCGAATGTAACTCTACAAATTTCTCCGGAGAATATTGCGAGATTGAACAATCGCAGCCTTGTCCGGCTAGTTGGTGGGGTTATCCAGTATGTGGACCTTGCCAATGTGATGTAGAAGATGGATATAATCCAGATTGCGACAAAAGTACCGGGAAATGTCATTGCCGGGAGAATCACTACCAACCTACCGGTTCCACCCAATGTATTCCATGCGATTGCTATCACATCGGCTCCCACAGTACTCAATGCGACCACGAAACAGGCCAGTGCAGATGCAGAAATGGGGTTATTGGACTCAAATGTGATTCTTGTCCAAATGCGTATGCAGAAGTTACCACCAAAGGATGTGAAGGTAAGAAAAAACTCTTCTTTGTACTGAAAGTTTATTGAAAACATAAAATGTTTTAGTTGTATATGACGGTTGTCCAAAATCCTCTTCTAATGGTATTTGGTGGCCAAGAACGGTTTTTGGAGGCGATGCTATTGAAATTTGCCCTAAAGGCTCACACGGAAAGGCTTCTAGGACTTGCGACAACGATCTAGGAGGCTGGCAAGAACCAGATATGTTTAATTGTACTTCGGAGCGATTTGTGGAACTTAGAGAACAGGTAAGTGTCTCCCATGTCAATGTTAATTAAAAAAATTTTACAATTATTTATTATCTTAGCAATACAAGGTATAAGTCAAACTTTATCAAAAGTTCTTATTTTTGATAAAGCTTACAACTTGCTGAGCTAAGTGTTCTCCTATTTGTGATCGAAATAATTACAACTCTAAATTCTTTATGAAACGTCTCTATAGGCAATTTGTACATAGTAAAATTTGTAAGTAGAATATTTGAACATAGTCCAGTAAATAAAAACAGTTTTATTGCCAACTACTTAAGCTCCTAATTCAAACTTTCTTGAATTCCGATAATTATAAAACTATATTTTTGTTACCATGTGTTCAATCGTATATTTTTTCAGTTATCCAATATGGAGAGGGGCGATCTTCAGCTCAATACCTTCGTATCTATAAAACTAGCCTCAGATTTGCAAAAAGCTACGAATCTAACAAAGAGCCTATATGGAGCTGACGTACTCATCACCTACGAACTAATGAGAGAGCTGCTCAATTACGAGGTCAAAATGAACGGGCTCAATCTGACTCACAGTCAAGACAAGGACTACATCAGGAATATCGTTCACTCTATAAGCGTAGTTCTGTCCAAGCAGAACACCGATCACTGGACCAGGATTAAAGATTTAACCGGAGAAGGCATTGAGAACATTATAGAGTTTGTTGAAAAATATATAAACACGCTCAGTGTCAGTCAGCACGATACATACACCAGTCCATTTGAGATTGTCTCTCCAAATATGGGTAAGTTTATAAGACATTCTTTTTTTCGTTAGGGACATGTGTTTAATGTATACTATACAGATTGAACGAAATAAATTCGGAACATACGAAATATTATGTATTTCGGCTCAATTCTGCTGTAGGAGGTTGACCAACAAAAGGTTGTCAAATAATTATATTATAAAAATCCAATACTTCAGCGGGCTGCTGAATTCTGAAATCATAAAAATTGAAAGCTACACATAAATCTACGATGTTATTATGCTGTCAAACCACTTATAGTCCAGGAAATGAAGCATTTCACCTCGCAATTTTTTCGTCCTGCGTGGATTGACTTGAAATTTTAACAGAAGGTAGGTAATAGCCAAGGATGAAAATCTATATCGAACCAAACTGCGCCAAAGCCTTAGGGGTGGTTGCCACCCCATCTCGGGGGTGAAATTTTTTTTTTACGCTTTAACTACAGGTTTCGATTAAAAAAGTGATTCTAAACAAAAAAATTTTTTTGTAAAACTGATATTTTTCAAGTTATTCGCAATTGAAAGTAACAACTTTTAGACGAAAGCGATATAACAGGAACCGAAATACGGCCTATCAATGTTCAGCGGTTTTCTTCAAATGCCAAATTTGAAAGATTCAAAGTCAAATATCGGGAAAATGATGCATTTTTGGAAGAAAACTCATAGAACCTTTTTTTAAAGAGCATAAATAGACCTATCATAAAAAAACACTCTAGCTCAAAAATTAAGTGAGTTATGATAAAAATAAGGTCAATACCTAATTTTTTTACGAAAAAATCGATGAAAACAACCCCCTAACCACCACTATAATTAAAATCGATCTTCACCTTTGTGAAATTCTCTTTGTACATGTATTGTTAATACGTCCAAGAAGTTTGACCCATTTAAAATGCTTAGTTTTAGAAAAAATACAGCATAAAGCGAGAAACGATTTACAATTTCATATTTTTTACCCTTCTTTCTTTAAATATCCCCGAAAATACTGAATATATGAAAAAAATAAAAATATACTAAATTGTAGCTTTTTTAATGACTAAAATTTTCCTTTATTTAGATTTGTTGTACAGTGAATATTTAGCGAGATTTAGCCGTTTAAAGCATCGATTTACGATCAAGCACCATATTTTTCGAGCCCTTTAAACTCACCCCATTTAAAAACCAAGGGTTCCAAAAAGATTTAATTCACAGATCCTTGTAGCTTTTAAAAACCTCTACAAAACCGTTTTTGAAGAAACACTCTATCGTTAAAAATGAAGGAAATACGTTAAAAAAAGCAATTAATTTTTTTTCCGGAAAATTCCATTAGTATAGTACAGTACATTTCGGAGCATAATAATCTACAAAACCGGTATATTAGCTAGTGGGGCGTTATGCATTCGAAATTTTAAGCGTTCTTATTTTGAAATCCCATACAACAGAATAAAACATCTGCTCATATGTCTAGGGCTTGGCAATGAAAATATCAGAGCAACAGATTGGGAATGGTATTCCAAAGATGGTTTGTTATTTCCCGTACACATGAACAAACAACCTGCACCCGATGAACTTTTGTTGTTGTTATAAATGTAAATATTTTCAACTATTTATCTAAATGTATAAGAATGTATGGTGCCTTTTTATGTTAATAAATTTTTTTGTATTTAATTCTACTTTTTTCAATTTATATCTATTAAATTAGTTTATAAAAACTGCAATGTTATAAAGGGTGATATTCAAAAATTGAAAAGTTGCAAAATTTTGGCAAAAAATTGTTTTCACCTATAGCACTCATAACAATTGATTTTTAAGGGTTGAAAATGTATGAAATTGTATTTTAAAGTATAAAAAAATCACTATTTAACTAATCCAAACCAAATTTCACTCATCTTAAGATTTGTAATGTTATTTTACAATTTTTGAAAATTAGGGGTAGTTTTCACCCCTAAGAACAATCAGGGTTCATCGGCATGACATGAACTATAAAGCAGAGGGTGAGTTGAGCTTAATTCCAAATTTTTATCCAAATTGTTCTAAGGCGAAATCATTTTCTTCGCATTACTACTTTTTTTTTACATTAATCTCTAACAAGGGTCGCTTTTTAAGGGTTGAAATATGATGGAACTTTATTCAAAAGCACGAAACTATCATTATTTAATTAATCCAAACCAAATTTTACCCATATTCAGGTTTAATATGTTATTTTATAATTTTTGACAACTAGGGGTAGTTTTCACCCCTAAGAATAATCAGGGTTCGTCGACATGACATAAACTATAAAGCAGTGGGTGAATTGAGCTTAAATCCAAATTTTTATCCAAATCGATCCAAAGCGAAATAATTTTTTAGAATTAGTAATTTTTTTACATTAATCTCTAACAAGGGTTGCTTTTTAAGGGTTGAAATATGATGGAACTCTATTCAAAAGTATAAAATAATCATTATTTAACTAATTCAAACCAAATCTTAGCCATATACAGGTTTAATAAGTTATTTTATAATTTTTGACAATTAGGGGTAGTTTTCACCCCTAAACCTCTTCAATGCACTTCGGTTCGATATAGATTTTGATCCTTGGGCTATCACCTACCTTCTGTTAAAATTTCAACTCAATGCATGCAGGACGAAAAAATTGCGAAGTTTTAACTTTTTTCGAGCTTCATTTCCTGAACTATTATCGCTTCCTTTACGCAAACAACATTGTAACATTATTGCGAGACAGATAGTTGAACTATATTTTATACAATGTCTATATCCAGGTATGGATTTATTTTTGTCCAAGTTTTATATTGGTCCACTATTTCAAATGCAGTTCAAATAGACATATATTAAATTGTATGATCCGTTTTAAATTCGTTCAATCTGTATGTATACTAGTTTAAAGAAAAACGATTTAGTTAAACATTTCTTTAAATTTTATTAATGCAATGGCTTTGACAAAAAATCCATACATAAACTAGGTCATGTGTTATCCTCGATTCAAAGAGAACTTGCTTTTAGGGCGTCATACTCTTCTCTGATTGTCATAAATTTACTACTGAAAAAATTAGTAAAGATAAGAAAGATTGCTTTCCAAACAATTTAGCCACGGTTCTCGTAAAGAAAACATTCTATAATACTAACTTTACATGACGACTATTGGCTTTCTTATACTTTTTTTTTATTTAATTAAATGGCTTTGGTAAAGACCAATTAGCCAGACGATAAGTTTCTTATACTTGAGTAATAAGATTCGAGATAATTATTCAAGATTCGAGATAATTAAGATACAAAGTCAAAGTATTCCTCCAATTCTGATTTACAGTCTACTACACAGCATTGTAGAATATTAGTATATATATACAGATCTGGTCCTCCATACTTTAGAAGGACCAAAACATTATTTTTACCAGAAATATTACGTTCTGAATTAAATGGAATTTTTTTATATTAAAAGTTTTTGGATCGTTACAACACGGCAACATAAAACGTTTCCATTATATAAAAACACATGGGTAAAATCTTGATATTTTATTTTTTAGTTATTGGTTTGGACGTTGTAACTCCAGAATCTTTATACGGCTTCGAATCTGAGTCACTTCCTCCTATTCCATCGATAAATCCAAACTTCACGTCGGAGAACGTCGTCCTTCCAGACACGTCTCTATTCCTGGAGGAAAGCCGTAATTTGCACCCAGAACCGTTTGTGTCTTTCCCGAAATACAACAACTACCTCTTGGACAAATCAAAATTCGACCAGCACAGCAGGATACTGATATCTTTAAATCTCTTGGGAATAAAGCCAGTGGAGTTCGGAGAGATCATAACGAAGCATACTCTGCCAGAGGACGGTAGCGTCGTGAGCTATGCTGAATATCGCCAAGATGGTGCCTTATTGCCTAAAGAGTACGACGATTCTGTGGTACGAAGATGGGGTGTCGATATAACCATCGGATCACCATTATTGTCGGTGGCTGTGTTAGTACCTGAATACGTTCCGGTAGAACTACCGCCAGAGCCGAAGATAACTTTCCAGGATGTTGGCTATGATACCAGCGACTATTGGACGAAGTCGAGTTTTAAGAAAAGCAGCTTGGAAAACGACCCTCAGTTCCTGAGGGTAAAGAGGGAAAACAGGAAATTGGTGTACAAAAGTTTAGCTGGAGTACCTCTCAGTAGTCCAATAAGGCTTCAGATGTGGATGGATCCTAATAATACAGTGCTGAACGCAAGATCAAACCCTCAGTGCGTTCACTGGTCGAGAGTTAGAGGGTAAGAACATATTTAACCGTTAATTTTTTTTATTATACTCTAATTTTTATTTTAACAGATTTGGAGAGTGGTCCAGAGTTGGGTGCCGAACTGAAATCTCCGATGAGTGGTTCGAAACGGTTGACGATGGACCAATTTTAGTAAATTGCAGCTGTAATCATTTGAGTACGTTTGCAGTACTTGTAGATGTTGTGGACTTAGAGGTAAGTATTTCTAGATTTTCTATTTTATTTCGATGTGATTAAAGAACCATATTAGGCTAAAACAAGAAAGTAATCTTCTTTTTAACGACATGTCTCTGTCCCACAGCTGAGAAAGTTTCAAATAAAGAAGCCTTACAACCAAGGGGAGTTATACCCTAGATATACTTACAAAGAAGAAATAATTACAAAAAAAAAAAACAAAGACGGGAGAGGTATAAAACAAGAAAAGTTATAAAGTAGGAGGAGTTAAATAGAAGACAGATTTACAAATAAGGTATTACACAGTAGACAGACTTCCGAAGAAGAGTGATTTACAAAAGAGGTGCGTTATAAGGAATGTTTTTTAAAAAAAGAAAGTTGCGAAGGAGAATTAAAAAGAAGTTGTAATACTAAAGGAGAAATAATAAAAAAAATTGAGAGTTACAAATTAAACTGAATTTCCAAAAACAAGCCTTACATAAAAGGATTATCAGAAAAACTTAAAAGAATAGGAAATAAATTCAACATTTCAACAACATTCAAACAACAAACACGTTGAGATCTATTTTGTCCAAAACCAAACCTAACAATGAACAAGAAAGGACAAAGAATTGCATTTATAAAATACCTTGTGAATGCGATCAGTTTTATTTAGGTAAAACATCAAGGACAGTAAATGTTAGAATAAGTGAACATCAATCTTATATTAAACATAGAGAATTTGATAGATCTTAAATATGTAAACACGCATGGGATAATGAACATAGGGTTCAATGGAATAATTCATATGTAGTTCTAAAAGAAACGGATGGTAAAAAAGAAAAATCAAAGAAGCGGCTCTAATTATGCTAAATGAGACCAATTGTGTCGCAAATTCCTCGGCAGAATGTAGTAGGATCTGGTTACCAATATTGAAAGAGGAAGTTATTAATAAGAAAATGCCAGTATTAGTAAGTCAAACATATAAAATCAGAATTTTGGTGTTTATTGAAGGTAAACTAAATGCACGAACAAATACTTACCATGTCGGGATACTATTATGAGGTTTTTTTCCTGGTTTTTCCCTCATAATTTTCTATGGAATCACTAACAGGAGAATTTTACTGTCATCATGTCATGTGTTTGTCTTTTTAAAGATGAATTACGTGCTATGATTTTTTTCTGACGGATATTCTCAAGTTAAAGTTGATTTCATGTAATCGAATGAACTATCTTATAAGTAAAGTCGTCCCAGGAGCGCAACTTAACAATATTGGCAATGTCATTTTAAAGTCGTCTACTTTAAAATGCATAATGTATGTCCGAATTGTCAATATAAATGAATCAGATAAAATTAAATTATTAGAAGAATTTTTCACTATGTAACCAAAAACAAAATTTGTTTAATTTACTGTTTGTATTTTGAGAACGATTTCCGAAGTGAAAATTGAAACGTCAATAAACGTATTTTTATCTTTAATTGTGGCTTATTCCCAGTTAAATAATAATTAAAAAAATAGATATTACAAAAAAGAAAGAACTATAAAGAGAAAACAGTTACACAATAGGGAGCGTTTCGAAAAAAGAAGCGTTATAAAGAAGGGAGAGTTACAAAGTAGGTACACTTACAAAGAAGAGATAGTTTAAAAAAAGAAGAAAGGAAAGTTACAGAAAAGGAAGAATTACATTAGTTACAAAGTAGTGGGCATTATACAGTAGAGAGAGTTACAAATAAATGAGAATTACAAAGTATAGAGAGTTACAAAGTATAGCGAGTTACAAAGAACAGATTTCAAATAACGGAGAGTTACAAAAAAGTGCGTTATACAGAATGAAGAATTACGAAAAAAGGAGAACAAAAATAATTAAGTGAAGATGGAGGAATAATAAATATAGAGTACTACAGCTGATCGTTCAAGGGAAAATAGACAGCAGAAGGGGTCCAGGGAGGAGAAGACACTCGTGGCTCCAAAACTTGCGGCAATGGTTCGGATTGTCAACTGCTGAACTATTCAGATCTGCCGTAAACAAAGTCAGAATAGCCATGTTGATTGCCAACGTTCGGAACGGACAAGGCACATGAAGAAGGAGGAATAATAGAGAGTAATCAAATAGAAAATCAGAGAGAAGCTATAGATACAAATCAGGTATAAAGGTAGTACTAATAGTATTATTGTGGAGTAAGAAAGATAAGCTAGATAGAAGAGTAGGGGGAAAGGCAGGAGAGGAAGAAAATATATGGAGAAATGGAAAGAATATAGAGAAAAAGTGGGGAAAGATTGAGAGAAAGAAGGAGTAATTGTTTAGAGGTACAGTGACAGAAAGTGAGGGAAAATACAAATACAGTAGGAGGGAATAGCGAGGATATGAAATTTAATCTGATTTCTTTGTTTACGGTCTTAATTTCCTATTTTTTTAGTACATTCCTGAACCGTCCCTCCTGGAAGACATATCCAGCTACAGTTGTTTCTCCATTTCGCTGCCGCTTTTACTGGGAACATACCTTATTCTGGCCCTGATCAGGGGATTGCAGACTAATTCGAACACCATCAGGAAGAATTTGGTGTTGTGCGTCTTTCTTGGCGAACTGCTGTATTTCGTTGCTCTGAAGGCGAGAAAACCAATGATAGGAAATGAGGTAAGCGAACAAGTTTTTAATACTGTTTAGGGTAATGTAAGTTTTGAAGATATTCGATAAGTATATAACATATAATTAAGAAATAATTCAAAGGTATTTGTACTAGTAGGCATAGATTTTTTTAATGCTGTAGATTGGGAATGATTTAAAGGAAATTCTAGTAAAAAGCGTGATGTAAAATTTGCTACTCTTAAGTATGCTGGCTGAAAACGTGAGGTAATAAATTATTTAAAATTATTGATGCCATAATTGTTCTAATAAAACTAGAATTAAATAATAAATGAATAAAACAATTTCGTAAATAGTATACTTTTAGAGGAGTTTAAGTTTTATTTGTTGTAAAATCTTGCCAGTAACTATTTAATGTAACTAATATATAGTAACATAACTTAAGTCTTGCTAGTAAGCAATAATTTATTCTTAAATTCTAACACAACACATAAGCAGAATGATTTTCGTTAGTAAGCATGACTGTTAAAGCCTTAAAACATTATTTTTGTCAGTAAGCACAGCTTTTATTGTAAACTTAAGAGTAATATGTCTAATTTTTGAGTGTAAGCATACAATTATTGTTAAATTTCAGAACAGTACATATTTTATAACGAATTTCTGATAATAAGCACAATTTTTCGTTTAAACGCTATAAAAATAATTGATTTAAAAGATCTGGAGAGTGCAAAAAAAGCAATGCTTCTGTTAAGCATTGCTTTTTGAACTTGTATAAAAAGTGTTTCAACAGATGTTGCTAGTAAGCATATTCTTTTCAATCCGGCTTAATACTTCTTAAATATGAGATTCTAAGGCTTCAAAAAGTAAACATGACCTTACTTACAGAGAAGTATACCGTTCAAATGAATTCCTGGAAGTAAGAAATTTTTTGTTTTTCACTATATACTGAAAAATTACCTCTTGTAATAATAATCCTTTAGATCATGCTCAAAGTTTAGTAATCATGACCCATACTTATAAAGAAATATACCATTCAAAAAAAATCCTGATAATAAGCACAATTTTTTGTTTTTCACTATAAAAATAAATGATTCAAAAGATCTTCAGTAATATCCTCAAACGACCTTATATTGAGCATTGATTTTTAATGGTGTATAAAAACAGTTTCAGCAGCTGTTAATACTACTAATCCTTGCAAAGCATGACTTTCTAAGACTATAAAAAATTACCCCTTCTAAAAATAACGCTTTAGAGCATGCTTAAAATTTAGTAAGCATGACCCTTACTTATAAAGAAATACATATTCAAAAAAATTCCCGATAATAAGCACAATTTTTTGTTTTTCACTATAAAAATAAATGATTCAAAAGATCTTCAGTAATATCCTCAAACGGCCTTCTATTGAGCATTGCTTTTTGATTTTGTATAAAAACAGTTTCAGCAGCTGTTAATACTACTAATCCTTGCAAAGCATGACTTTCTAAGACTATAAAAAATTACCCATTGTAAAAATACCGCTTTAGAGCATGCTTAAAATTTAGTAAGCATGACCTTACTTATAAAGAAATACATATTCAAAAAAATTCCCGATAATAAGCACAATTTTTTGTTTTTCACTATAAAAATAAATGATTCAAAAGATCTTCAGTAATATCCTCAAACGGCCTTCTATTGAGCATTGCTTTTTGATTTTGTATAAAAACAGTTTCAGCAGCTGTTAATACTACTAATCCTTGCAAAGCATGAGTTTCTAAGACTATAAAAAATTACCCATTGTAAAAATACCTCTTTAGAGCATGCTTAAAATTTAGTAAGCATGACCTTACTTATAAAGAAATACATATTCAAAAAAATTCCCGATAATAAGCACAATTTTTTGTTTTTCACTATAAAAATAAATGATTCAAAAGATCTTCAGTAATATCCTCAAACGGCCTTCTATTGAGCATTGCTTTTTGATTTTGTATAAAAACAGTTTCAGCAGATGTTAATACTACTAATACTTGCAAAGCATGACTTTCTAAGACTATAAAAAATTACCCCTTGTAAAAATACCGCTTTAGAGCATGCTTAAAATTTAGTAAGCATGACCTTACTTATAAAGAAATACATATTCAAAAAAATTCCCGATTATAAGCACAATTTTTTGTTTTTCACTATAAAAATAAATGATTCAAAAGATCTTCAGTAATATCCTCAAACGACCTTCTATTGAGCATTGCTTTTTGATCGTGTATAAAAACAGTTTCAGCAGCTGTTAATACTGCTAATCCTTGCAAAGCATGACTTTCTAAGACTATAAAAAATTACCCCTTGTAATAATAACGCTTTAGAGCATGCTTAAAGTTTAGTAAATATGACCCTTACTTATAAAGAAATACACATTCAACAAAATTCCCGATAATAAGCACAATTTTTTGTTTTTCACTATAAAAATAAATTATTCAAAATATTTTGAATAATATCCTCAAAAGACCTTCTATTAAGCATTGCTTTTTGAACTTGTATAAAAACAATTTCAGCAACAGTTAATGGTAACACATAATCTTGACTATTCCTTGAAAGTATGACTTTCTGAGACTTTAAAAAATCACCTTTTGTAATAATAGTTATAAAGACCCACACCTATAAAGAAATATACCATTCAAAAAATTCCAGATAATAAGCACATTTTTTTTATTTTTCGCTGTAAAAATAAATTATTCAAACAATCTTGAGTAAGATCCTCAAAATACCTTCTATTAAGCATTGACTAGTCCTGAGAAAGCATGACTTTCTAAGACTTCAAAAATTACCCCTTGTAGTAATAACACTGTAGATCATGCTTAATGTTTAGCAAGCATGACCCATACTTATAAAGAAATACCATTCAAAACATCACTTTCTAAGGCTATAAAAAATTACCCTTTGTAATAATAATATTTTAGATCATGCTTAAAGTTTAGTAAACATGACCTTTACTTATAAAGAAAAATATCATTCAAAGAAATTCCTAATAATAAGAACAATTTTTTGTTTTTCGCTATTTTTAAATTCAGTAAAATCCTCAAAATACCTTCTATTAAACATTGCTTTCTGAACTTGTATAAAAAAACAGTTTCAGCAGCTGTTAATGGTACTAGTCCTTGCAAAGCATGACTTTCTATGTCTATAAAAAATTACCCCTTCTAATAATAAGCTCTTAGATCATGCTTAAAGTTTAGTAAGCATGACCCTTACTTAAAAAAATTCTGATAATAAGCACAATTTTTTGGTTTTTGCCAAAAAAATAAATCATTCAAAAGATCTTAACACGTTGATGGACAGAGACGCTGTGCAGCGTCTTTTTTTAAAATTGTGTTGTGACAGAACGCTGTGAAGCGTCCTTAACAAAATCTAATATCGTGGCAGAACGCTGTACCGCGTTATATTTATAATATAAATACATGGTAACACGTAATCCACTGTCGTAGAATACCTATCTATACCTTCCAATCTGTTACCCATCTGGTAAATTATCGTAATATATTATGGTAATAATATCGACAAAAAGGACACTGTACAAATTGACTATTTTTGAATAACTTAGGTGTCCGTCAAGGTGTTAAGGAAGATCCTTAAAAGACCTTATATTAAGCATTACTTTTTGAACTTGTTTATACAAGTCACAGCAACTGTTGATGGTGCTAGTCCTTAGAAATCATGACTTTTTAAGGCTTCTAACATTTAAATTATGCTTATTATTTATTAAGCATAACTTTACTTATAGACAAATACTTCATTCCAAAGAATTCCTGATAGTATGCACAATTTTTTTTGTAGATTCTATAAAAATAAATGATTCTTGCATAACATCCTCAATAGATTTTCAATTAAGCATTGTTTTTTCTACTTGTATAAAAGCTATTACAATTGCTGCGGAATAATGTAGATCGGGGTTACTTCTCAGTAAGCATGACATTCTAAGTTAGAATAATATACCTCCCACGAGAATTCCTGATAGTAAGCATAAAATTGTATGGCTGTAAAAATCATTAATATTTATTAAAATGAATGTAAGAGATCATTAAAAATGCTACTATCAGCGTAACCTTTTACATAATGCTTAATGTTGGTAAGCATGACTTTTAAAATATTTAAAGTGATTCCTGATGGTAAGAATATGTTTTTATAATCACTAGAATACGCAGTTGTTTCTGTATAATTAATTTTGTTGTTCTTAACATGTATTATACCTACCTCATATTTTTTAGTTTTCCTGTAAACTGGTTGCGATCGGTCTGCACTACCTCTGGCTGGCCTCTTTCTCGTGGATGCTTGTAGACGCGATTCATCTATACAGAATGCTGACGGAAATGCGCGACATCAACCATGGGCCCATGCGGTTTTACTACAGCATGGGCTACGTCGCTCCTGCTGTGGTCGTCAGTCTTGCTGTTGGCGTGCGAGCTCATCAGTACGGAAATTATTATTTGTAAGTAGTTATTTCGTTCAGTTTTTGTTTGTTTTATATAGTTTTATCGGTTAGCATTGGCAGCAGACAAACAGTTATTTCTGTCATTTCTTTGTGTAACTCTTCTTTAAAAAACTTTTCATTAGGATCTAAAACGTCACAATTCGTCAAAAGCATACGAAGCAGTGACATCGAACAGAAATCATTTAGAATAGAGGGACAAAGAAAATATGACAGATGGCACAACTATATCTATGGTAAACTGCATGTTATATGATATGACAGATGACAAATTAAAAGGAGGCGTAGCCTGTAGTATCGATGAGATGAAGATTTTTCCAATGTCAAACTGTTTTAAACTTTTCATGAACTAGGAATATGAGATAAATGGAGATTTCATAAAAATAGACAATAAAAATCATTAATCTTGTTTATAGACATATCTTTATGCATTTTTTGTTACATGTAGTTGACATTTTTGTTCAAGTAACTATAAACGACTATTTTTTTTTATAGCTGTTGGGTGTCTTTGTATGAAAGCGTGGTCTGGAGTCTAGTGGGTCCAATATGTCTTTTGGTGCTGATCAATATTTTTGTATTAGCCTTTTCTGTGAGGGCTGCATTTACTTTACAAGATCATGTCTTGGGTTTTGGCAATCTCAGGTAACTATTGTAATTTTTCTATCAAATGAATCGTTTTAAACGACGGTTTTGCCTCTTTTAGGACGCTGCTTTGGGTATCTGTGATAGCTCTACCATTGTTAGGAGCAACGTGGGTGTTGGCTCTATTAGATGCATCAGAGAGACATCCTCTTCTAACACCATTTTTATCAGTAGCAGTACTGGTCCATGCGGGATTTTCCCTTGCAGGATACTGCTTCGCCAACAACAGAGTAAGACAAAACCTAATAAGGTAATGCATTTAGATACGTAGAAATCGTCCACGAATTTTATGGTGTACACTTTCAGATCTATTATGAGATGCATGGGGAAGAAAGTACCACTGCTAGATACCACTTCAGTCATGGGAGTACCGAGTACCAGTAGCCAGAACATCAATGCTCAATCGGTAAGCACTGCTACATAGAGGTCACAACCGCTTATTAACTGTTTTGTTTTCAGCGTTCTGCTTTAGCGTACCATTCAGGAGACACGAGCAGAAGAAACATCGGTATATCCACTTCTAGTACTACTTCACGTTCAACCACCAAAACTAGTTCCAGCCCTTACAGGTAATATCTCTTTTTGTGCAATTTTTTACAATCTCAACTTTTGGTGAACAAAATTTAATTCTTAGGGACGAGACATTAAAAATTACAATTTTCTATTTTATCAATAATTGATTTGTAAACAGGTTATACTGTTGCGCATTATAAGAAATCGACTCCAAGCTGACTCGTGTAGGAATACTCCAATCACAAGGTCATTTGTATGTGAAGAAGTAATCAAATTGTGTTTTAGATGATAAATTGCGTCATAAATATCCTAACAGATTACTTTCCATTATCCAATTTGATTGGTATAACAATATTTGAGATGTTTTTAGGAGTGACAGCCATCTGCGTCATACGTCAACGTCAACGTCAAACTACAACTCGACAAGTGACGTGCCGTCGTATCTGCGCGGGTTTGAGCACGAGACCGGCCTGCACAGACATAGGGAAGTGCCGGAAGAGCCGGAGGAACGACGAGAGAGAAGGACCGATAGAGCAGATAGGGGCGAGAGGGATAGCGATTCGGACACCGACGCATCGGAGGGTAGGAGCTTGGATTTAGCTTCGAGTCATTCCAGCGATGATGATGAGTCTAGCACTAGACGGCATCGAACAAGAACAAATACTGGTAAAAGCAAATTGTTAACTTTTTAAGAGTTGTGTACACAGTAACAACATTATTTGTCTTAATTTTCATTTTATTTTTATAGTACGACAAGGATACCTTCCTAATATCACGGAGCATGTAGTATCAAGATGTGGTACGCCACCATCTTTGAACGTCGTGACCAATTCTCAGCTGTTTCCAGCTGTGGCGCCTAGCTATGGATCCAGGTGGGCTAGCCAACTACCGGAATCGTATTTACCAAACCACAACGGTGAGTACTACTGCCTTTTACAAAAGTGTAAGGGTATGAGACGTCCTTGATCGATAAAAATATCACATTTTTCTTGCTAATCTATTAAAATTGCTCTAGCTAGCTAAGTATTTTTAATTCTTTTAGTTTTGTCAGAACCTGATGTTCAATTTTTTCAATTAAATATTTGGTCACCTAACTTTCAACGTTAAATATGAACCTTACGTCAGTTTTTCTGTCTCTGGCTGCAATTTTTTGATCATTTATTAATAATACATTTCAGTTCCTGAAGTTGGTCGTTGGTCAGCTGAAACCGGCTCCGACAACGAGTTCTACCAGAAGAACGGTTCACCAAATCCGCTCCCACATCCCGATGTCACACCCGAAACGAGCGTGCCGGCACTACATTCCGAACAGTACATGGTTCGAGCCCATTACAACAACTACAACCCCAGTTCTTTGGTGTACAAAGGGGACTACATGCCTAAGGTGATGCCTCACGACAATATGAACTACCAGGATTACGATAGGGGTAGTGATATCGATGAAAAGGGCCATATGAACGACAAGTATCATTTTCCATATACAGGTGAGTTGTCGTTTTTTACTTTGAGTTTATTTTGCTACAGAGTTTTGTGTTTTGTACTTTTTTTATTATTGAATGCTCTTTCAAAGGTGCACCCTTCAAATGCAACCGTAAAAAAACTAAAATGGAATCATAGTAAATCAAGTCGACCGATGGATGAGTAGTGCTCTCATTAGTAAAGTCTCTCACTTCATTGATTCTGATCGGAAGACTTTAAGAAGCTATAAAACTGGAAAATCAGACACAAGAATAACTTCAATTGAACCTTTTTTCTTTTTTCTTGGATCTAGTCAAGAATAAAGTCCCGATTTTGGAAAATTAACTGTTTATTGGTAATTGTATTGCGGATGTTGCTTTAAGAGTTTAAACAACAATTGCGACAGGATGGTCATAAACCTTACAAGAAAAAGTGACAAGAACAAGAGAGAACACTGGTCAGTAGTAGGTCTGACATAGTTATTCTTGATAAAATGATTATTGTCCTTGATCGCGCGTCTGTCGTATTCGGGAATTCCCTGCCTTATTTTCATTAATATTCTAGAAAAGATGGATCCTTCAGGATGATACGGAAATTTTACATACCGAAAACAAAACAACAATCAAAACGAATAGATTCTATATAAATTAAATCAAAAGTGTGCATTTTTCACTATAACAATAGGAACAAACGCTAAAATTTGAAAATAACATATATAGGACAAACCAATCGACGAATCTATGGCAGAAGTAATGCACACAGATTAATTATATGGAATACTTAGAACAGAAATAAATTATGAAGCATAAAATAGACCTCAGGTCTTACAAAGAGATGCCCTAAACCTTCACCAATATGAAATTTGCTAATTAAAAAACCCAATAATAAAAAAAAACACCCAGAAAACCGAACCGTCTATACCACTAAACCCTGTATCACATGTTATTCCCTCTGTCCAAGAGTAAAAAGTACCCTGTCGTATGACTTGTACATCATCATTAAGCCTCAAAAGTCTACTGTTGAACCTAGGCCTCTTTCTCGTGTTTCCAATCTCGTATATCTTGCGTCATACTCATCCAGTTTAAAAAAAACTGGATGACTTATACACATTTGTATAATTGCCAACAAAAGCAATTCGTTCGGGAATGATTTTAGGTGCTATTTAAAGATCTGTTCCTACGAAAAATCACAATAAAACTTAAATAAGAATACTAATTAATAGGCAACTTGATTTTTTTGTTTATGAAAGTTGGGAGTAGAATTTTGTCTAACTTTTGCTTGTGTCTTTGTTCACTGCTGCTTAGATAATGATTTCAAAGGTTTGTGCTTCAGTATTATTAATTGCATGATAAATTCTTAGCTGTTTCTGTTTATGTAGTTGTATTAACGCGTTTAAATAGAGTTCGATCGCACAAGTATGATGTAATCACTATTAAGGATTATTTTTTCTTTCTTATTATATTTGATATTGTTCAGATAGTATTTTCTTGTGGCATTTTTATATTATTTACCACGTTTAACGCTAATTAAAAACAATTTCTGTCGAAAAGACGTTTTATTTTGACGTTTCATCGAAATCGAAGGAATTGATTAAAAGAGTGTCCAAAAAAAGACCGATGTCAAAAAAGACTAGTGTCTAGAGCAGTGGTTCTCAACCGGTGTTCCGCGGAACACTAGTGTTCCGCGAATTCACTCCAAGTGTTCCACGAAATACTCGCAATCCTACATACCATTTTGCTAAATTACTCTTTTCAAATAAATATTTTCAAATTTTAAAATAGCCACTTACGTACATTTTAATTTGATAAAATTCTGCAACGTAAATGTTTATTTGCCCAACGTGACAACACCGCGTCGGCACAGTGCACACGTTGGATTTTATAAGCGCTGAGCTCCGCAGTGGCCACAGCCAATCTGAGTCACCCACGCCACAGTCTGCTGCAACTGAATGTTGAATTTGTTACATTGCACAAACGTAATACGTGAAAATCGCTGTGTCAGTTTTTTTATGATAACGTTTACGTACGGCTTATCTATCAAAGGTAAGTAATTGCATATTTTATACAAAATGTGAAGCATTCATCCGCATTATTTTGTTTAGAGACGAATAAATTAAAATGGATAAGTTCCTCAAACTTAAAAAAAAACTACTGTGGAACAACTCATAATTAATGATGATGAAGCGAGCACCAGCGGAGATACTGGAAGTTTACGAAGTGGGGTTGATGACAAATCGAAGCGCAGCAAAAAAATGTTGAACCGGCAATATTTGGATGAATATTTGGATTATGGCTTCATTTGGACTGGGGAAGAAGACTGTCCAATTCCCAAGTGTATTGTTTGTGGGCAGACTCTCGCTAATAGCGCAATGGCTCCGGCTAAATTAAAACGCCATTTTACTACCAAACACGCTAGTGTAGCTTCAAAAAATAAAGATTATTTCAAGCGACTTTTGGAGACACAAGCGAAACAATTTGAAAGGTCGCTAACAATTTCCGACAAAGCACAAATAGCTTCATATAAGGTCGCCGGATTAATTGCTTTGAAACAGAAACCATACACTGTTGCAGAATCTCTTATGTTACCAGCATGTTGTGAGATGGTCAAAATTATGTTTGGCAATGAAGCACAAAACGAAATACGGAAAATTCCTATGTCGGATGATACAATAAAAAGGAGGATTGTTGATTTATCTGCAGATATTGAGGAAAAAGTTACAAATAAACTTTACAAAAAAAACTTCGCATTGCAGGTGGACGAGTCCACTGATATTAGTGGCAAAGCTCATTTATTAGGATTTATTCGATTTGTCGACGAAGGTGAAATAGTCAATTAGTTTTTATGCTGCAGAGAACTTACAGCACGTACAACAGGTCAGGATGTATTTGATTCCATAACGTCATATTTAGAGAAAAAAAATATATCATGGGACTTTTGCGTAGGAATTTGTACTCTTCCATGGTAGGCTCCATAAAAGGTGTTTGTACCCTTGCAAAAAAGCGAAATGAAAATATATCTACGCACTGTTTCTTGCATAGAGAATCTCTAATTTCAAAAACGCTACCAGCTACTTTGAAATCTGTATTAGACCAAGTGGTTAATGTCGTGAATTACATCAAATCAAGACCACTAAAAACCCGTCTTTTTAAACAACTCTGCATCTCAATGGAATCAAAGTATGAATGTTTATTGCTGCACACTGAAGTTAGATGGTTGTCAAGGGGCAAAGTATTATGTCGAATTTATGAACTTAGAACGGAGCTGTTAACTTTTTTCCAAGAAGAAGGTAATGACACATTTACCACATATTTTGAAAATGTTGCATGGTGCACTAAAGTGGCATATTTGGCCGATATTTTTAATTATTTGAATGGCGTTAACTCAAGTATGCAAGGCAAAAATGAAAATATTTTAACATCCACGGACAAGCTGTCAGCTTTCCAGAAAAAATTGTCATTTTGGAAGAAGCGCATTTTAGAGACAAATAAAATGGATATGTTTCCATGCTTCAGAATGAAGGTGATGAAGATAAAGAACAAGAAATCACGCATATAGTTACAGAACACTTATCACTATTAGATGAGACAATTGCCAGGTATTTTCCATCTCTGAACGTAGAAAAATATGACTGGATAAGAAGTCCTTTTAGCACAAGTAATACAGCCAATTTCCAGTTTTCTCTGAATCAAGAAGAAGAATTTATTTCGTTGTCATCTGATCGTACTCTGAAAATTAAGTTTTTAGAAGTGAATGTTCAGGAATTTTGGATCTTGGTCCAAGAGGAATATCCACTTCTTGCCAAAAAAGCGATTAGTATTTTAATACAGTTTTCAACGTCCTATTTATGTGAATTTGGGTTTTCATCTTTAATAAACATTAAAAATAAGAAACGGGAAAGGCTGCTAAACTTAGAACAAGAAATGAGAGTAGCTCTTTCCCACATCAGGCCTGATATTGAGCAAATTTGCAAACGACACCAGGCACAAGTGTCTCACTAATTTGAAGTATTTACTCATATGATGTATTTTGAGAATTACGCTTTTGTTAATTTTAAAACTGTTTTTTGTTTTCATATTTTAAGTAAAATTTTACAAATTTGAGTATGTATAATAAAGTTTATTACAGAATTTATGTGCTAATCCTAATTTGTTTATCAATATATGCATGTTATTGCTTTGGTGTTCCGCAATTTTTTTCGGTAATTAAAGTGTTCCGTCGCCACAAAAAGGTTGAGAACCACTGGTCTAGAGCCTGATCCACTACTCTGAGCCGCGTAATGTAGGTTGCCTATTATGAATTTGAATCGCGGAACTTACTGACAGACATACGCATAACGTGGAACGAAGTTTTTCTATAATTCTTTTATAAAATATATTATATGGTATTGTTATTTTTCTCGAATTCTGTCGTGTGAATTGTAGCAGAATTCCTTTCTGTTATTTTGTTCCATTTCCTTTATTCTGGAAAATTCCTTACTTATAAATAACATCAGAAAATCTTTTTTTTACTAAAATAGATGTTAATAAATATTTTTCTACCAAAAACGAATTTTCATTAGAACAGGCAATTTTAGCTCTATCCTATAATGATTTAATGACTCCCTTTTATAATATATATATATATATATATATATATATATATATATATATATTATATATATATATTCATATATCCAGAAAAGGTAACGAATTATATTCCTTTTCCATTGTAAATTTTATTGACTCCCCCTTTACCTTTTATCTATATTAATCAGAAATTTGTCCAACACATCATCTACATATTTCCAACATATTGTGGGCTTTAAATTTTGATTAGGAATGTTTGTTTTGAAGTCTTCCATCAATATATTAGCTAATAATGGATTTAAAGCACAGCTTAAAAATATTGTTTATAGAAATCATTGTTTAGATGAAAATAAGTGTTGTCAGTAGATAATGTTAACAGTTCTATTATAGCTGATACATTTAATTTGGTTCTATAGAAAATGTCACACCGAGAGTGCAGTACGGCTAATATAGGAATGCACAATTGCCAGATTTCACGCCTTGTGCTTGGCGATACAAACAGGTCCAAGTGGTAGTCACAGAACCGTACCCAGATCTCTACGCCGCGCTCTGTTATTTATTATAAAATAATATATTGATAAAATAATTGCCTTCAAGTAGCCAAATAAGAGGCATGAATTTGAATAAAAAGACCTTAAGTTTTTAGCGAGAATTTTATTATAAAACTGTATACTTTATTAAACTAACAAATGTATTTTAAATTACATTTCATGATAGCTATAAATATACCGGGTGGAACCTCCGGTAACTCGATTTCCGTGCACCCAGCCCAATATCCAAGAAAAACTTTTTCTTTTGTAAATATGTGAAAAATTATCAGGAACGGGAATATCGAAAAAGCTTTGCACATTTTTTAATCCCGGCGATGTTATTAAAAAAACTAGTTGCGCACTTGAATCACTGCGAAATTTTAAAACCTACTATGAAATTTTTGTTTGTGGAAATCTGAAGTGCAGTTTTTATCCTTGTTAAAACATAATGCAGTCTCGCATTTTTTACACACAACATAAGTTTACCTAGTTCCTTGGCATAGCAACCTGGTAGTTTTCAGCGAAACCTTGTGTTATTCCATATGGGATAATGGTTTTCCTTGCCCACACTTGACCAGATGAGCAGGTGTAAGGTTTATAGTGTAAGTTATTTAACATTATATTCGTCCAAATATATGATATTGCAATGGTCTTTTCGCAAACGTCGTATAGTTCTCAAATAATTATGGCGCCAATGAATAATATCCTCTCGCTCCACCATGATGCTTTTTTGGCCACGTTTCTTATAAACAAATCCAATATCTTTCAGAAGTATGTATAAAGTAGAAAGAGACAACGGCTGTATATTCTCATTACCTTGTATGAAGTTATGTATATGCTTTAAGAATGGAGGAAAATTTTTCATGAAAAATTCACAATGAACAATTCTCCGTAGAATACTTCTTACACCCTCGTCATATGTGAATATTCTAGAATTTGATTGACACACTAGTTTTTTACGTTTTTTTGGCGATTTCAACGTTCCACTCTGTTCTTTTTCTTTTTTGAAATTGTAAATGCTTCTTTCACTAACACCAGTCATCAACGAAGTACATCTTACAGCAGCACTTACATTAAGTTGTTCCGTATTTTGTAAAAAACACAACACGTTTAACACTACGAGTTTAGCGCAACCGTTAAATAATTCACCGGATTTAAACTTATGAGACTCCATGCTCTCTGTTGAAACTCGGACTAAATTTTGAAGTGTGGTTTCGTTTTCCAAAAGCACTTTCACCCCTACCCATCCTAAGTGAAATAGGGAA